AGTTACTGTCATTCTATTGTTCAGAATGTTGTTTTAAGATGAGTTACTGTCATGCTATTGGTCAGAATACTGTTTTGAGATAAGTTAGTCATGCTATTGTTCAGAATACTGTTTTGAGATAAGTTACTGTCATGCTATTGGTCAGAATACTGTTTTGAGATAAGTTAGTCATGCTATTGGTCAGAATACTGTTTTGAGATGAGTTACTGTCATGCTGTTGGTCAGAATGCTGTTTTGATACGAGTTACTGTCATTTTATTGGTCAGAATGCTGTTTTGAGAAGAGTTAATGTCATGCTATTCTTCAGAATAATGTTTGAATGACACACTTGAAACTCAAAACATGGAAAGTGCAAAAGTAAATTATCTTTCAAAAGATTTACTAAGAGCTAAAATAATTCAATCAATAATGGTTTGTATGGTTTGACATGCATGTGTGATCAGTCAAGTATCAACTGCTTCAGATGTTTTAAAAATTAAAACAAATATGGATGTAGTAAGTCCATTATTAACTTAAATTTTGAACTAAAAAAAATAACTGAAATGTGGCATAATTTTGTTAGCATGGTATCGTGATTTGACGGTTTAAACATAAAATATAGCCACTGCAAACCATTGGAAATCTTGCCCTGAATACAAATCATGTATATGTACCGTCTATATTTTATTTTTACTTATAATTAATTTTGACTGAAGGAAATAAACATAAAAAAAAATATGGTTTTTAAATTGGTTAAAAAAAACACTCAATACCCTTTTAAATTCAGCTGAAAAACATTAATTTATTTTGCAGAAAATTACAATGGTACCTACTAGGTTAATGGAAAGTCAGTGTATAAATCATCTATCAACACACAGTTGTCTAGACCGGAATACAATGCCTCATTGATTAAAAACATCTGTTGATGTACATAGGCACTGACATGAATAATTTCCTTAATAATGACACATAAAGGCACATGTTTATATATTCATAAGAACTGTAATGCTTGATAGGTGAATAATTTGCATATAATTTGCATATTTTTCACATATTTCATACTATCTTCCATGTACAAATATAAAATATATTACAGAAATTAATTTCAAAATGGCGACTGAGGTCACCAAAGTTCATGCTCCCATGCTTGAAGATTTCCGAGTTCTTTGTAAAATAAGAAAGTTTATTCAATTTCTACCATAATCTAGTGCATATGGCGGGGGTCATTATATTTCTGGTTGATCAGAACGCACCTGTATCATTTCATACTGAATGTTCATACTTGAATAATTTGTCGATAAATAATTCACAATAAATAAACATTTTTATTTTCTTGTTTATTTGGTTATTTTTTATTATATTTAACTGTCAAATCAGTTTGAGATTATTTCAGAAAGTCAAATCATCACTGTCTGGCATCACAGTAGTGTAATCTTTATTGTGAGTATACTTTACCTGTTACTGGTATAATAACGCTGGCACGTTACACATTTATTTAAAAAAATTTCATGTAAATTTTGTCAAATGAACAATTTTATAAAAAATGAAATTGCGATTCAGTTAATTCACATACATCAAAATAGCTCCCATATTGATTTTTGACTACACCAAATTCAAACAGTTCTTTACACTAGAATATTGTATATGCAGCGCCCTCACACAGCAGAATGGAATGTTTGAAAGAACTCCGAAAACGTCAATCTTAAAAAAAAATCTTTTCCCTGTGATTTTTGTAGTTTGTATATTGATATTGCAGATTGATACATCCCTACAAATGCTGTGCTTTGGCTATTGTTGCAGCACGTTGTGCTCTTTGAACAATTTCTGGACATTTCTTCCTTTCAATAAACCGGGTCCCTTGAAACAGTCCTTCATTTCGTGGGAGACCATGGGTACCATCAGCAAACGTCAGAAGACCTGAATCGAAATACGAAGAGCCGACAGATTAATTGACCCACTCACACCAAATTAAGTCATATAAGATATACTGCTTACCAATTCAAGTCTTCACAACAACCATTTCCCTACTAACCATTGGTAGTCTGACAACATACATTGGTCTATCTGCTCTCATATCGATAAATACATTTTGTAGAGCATTTTTTATGAAATTCTCTTTCCTTTGCGACATTTTGACAATAAGTGTGACACACCTTTCATACTGACAAGAGACTAGGTTCATTTGTCTTTGTTTATTTTGATTTGATTTGATTTATTTCACCAGAAAATATACAACAACAGAAAACAAACAATGTGAGAATGAAGAAAAAAGGATGTTTGAAATTTTCTGGTTAGGTCTAAGGAAAATAGTTCGTCTGAACTAATCTAGTCCAAGAACCAACTTATTGTGTGATATTATGGTAATAAAACTGGTTAAATGATTAAATAATGATTAGAATAATTAAATTAAAATGGAGTTAGGTAGGTAGGACATCCAAGATAGTAATATACAACTTATAGAAAGAGGAAATAAAAGAAAATAACAAATCTGATGTGTAAAAACATATTGATAAGGTAAAAGGTTTAATTCTGTAGTAGGTAATGCTTTAATGTGTTTTTGAAGTGTGTTCTATTATGGGATATTTTAAGGGAGGCTGGGAGTGAGTTCCAATGTTTAACAGATGCAAATTTTAGATTATGCTGAGAAATGGTCAGTTTAACTTTTGGAATTGCATGATTACTTTGGAATATTGACTTCGTCGGATAGCTATGAGACAAATCATCAAAGTAGTGACTCAGATTATTGGCAAAGCGAATATGTTTAAGGTAAAATATTTATAATCATTTTCTTTCACTTTTGACAATAAAATTGGATGCAAATGTTCTGTAATTTTTATTTTTACAAACCACACTGACAGAATATGTATATTTTTAATTGTTTTGGATCAAAGATTCCAAACTTAGTTCATCGTCATTTTTTGTAGACAGGCAGGCAGATTTAGCAGAGGACTATGTGTGGAAGGTTACACAAGTTGTTGGTGAAAGGGTCAAGAACCGGACTACATGTTGACAATAGTAAACAAAACAAGCCATGCATGGCACAGTCCCCGATATCAAATTTAAGATAAATAATTTTGTTTATAGTAATATATCTGGAATATAACCATGTCAGGAATATGATTTTTTTAAATGATTGACATTTGTATCTGATCGTCAAACAAGTACTTGTCCATATTGAGAGGTATTGCTCTGGAACAGCATTCAAAATTAGCCATTTTGAATACATGTATATATATATAACATGATATATAATGAATATATAAAATTTAAATATAATCAGTCAAAGAATTTAAGAGATATGGCTCTAGAAGCCCAATCATTAAAACAAAATGGCCACCAGACAGCCATTTTGAATCCAATCTGAAAAATAAAATGACGTGCATCAGGAACCTGTAATGTCTAATGTGTGTTATAAGTTTGAACAAAATCCATCCATGAATGCAAGAAATGCTTGATATTCAAGGATTTTTTTAGCACAAAAATAGCCACCATTTGGCTACTTTGAAAAGGGTCGTCAAACCAATATATTCGTATATCTGTGACATGATGTATAATGAATATTAAAAATTTGAACATAATCAGTCAAAACAAGTCAGACATATGGGTCTGGAAACCCATTCATTAAAACAAAATGGCCGCCAGACAGCCATTTTGAATCTGATCTGAAAAATACAAGCCATGCATGGCACAGACCCTGTTAGTTATCAAATTTAAGATATATAGTTTTGTTTATAGTAATATAGCTGGAATATAACCATGTCAGAAATATGATTTTTTAACATTAAAATGATTGCCATTTGTATCTGATCGTCAAACAAGTACTTGTCCATATTGAGAGATATTACTCTGGAACAGCATTCAAAATCAACCATTTTGAATACATGTATATATATAACATGATGTATAAGGAATATATAAAATTTGAACATAATCAGTCAAAGCATTTAAGAGACATGGCTCTAGAAGCCCAATCATTAAAACAAAATGGACGCTAGTCAGCCATTTTGAATCCAATCTGAAAAATAAAATGACGTGCATCAGGAACCCGTAATGTCTCATGTATGTACCAAGTTTGAATGAGATCCATCCATAAATGCCAGAAATGCTTGATATTTGATAATTTTTTAGCACAAAAATGACCACCATTTGGTCATTTTGAATAGAATCGTCAAAGCGTCCAAACGGGGACTAATTAACAATGGTGTATTACCACACTATATTTCCTTACCATTTCCGTTGACTTTTCCATCCCTGTATTCGCCTTCAAACTTCATTCCATCACATCTTAAAAAAACACCTACACCATTAAATTTACCCTGGCTGAACTCTCCCTGATAGCTGAAAAAAATGACAATTCAGCTGTGATTTAGAATCTAAAACAACTATTACTGTGAGTGAATAACATAACCTTTTGAACACCAAAGTCAAGTTTTTTCACCTTTCACAAAATAAACCTGTATGATTTTTTTCATATTTTATCAGCAATTTTGATCAAGACCTGTGCTTATGGAAAATTTTTGTCAATTTGGTCCAAAAGCAGTCTTTCGTCTGAGATAGCTTCACTGTTAGCAATACACATTTCAGTTAAAGAACCGAAGATATCATAAACAATATGTATAGTATCAAAGCAATCGAAAATTTCACTTTTTACCAAAAATAACAAAAATATTCATTAAAATTAGAGAATTGAAGATATAATCATCAAATGAACAAATCTGAGAGAGGTCCACATGTAGTACCTATATATGTAATATCAAAGTAATTGGACTTGCGGTTTTTAACAAGAAGTCGAAAATACCACTTTTTACCAAAAATATAAAAAATTTCACCAAAATTAGAGAATTGAAGATATCATCATGAAATAAACAAATCTAAGAGAGGTCTACCCAAGGTACATATACAGCATTCAAAGCATTTAAGAAGAAGTCGAAAAAGTAAAACATTGACATGAACGATGCTGAACGCCGCCGGACAATCAATCATATGATAGGCTCCGCTCGACAAAGTCAACAGCGGAGCTAAAAACTGTTCAAAACGTTACACCAACAATTTGGCTGCAAAAATTATGGTGTTCAAAAAAGAACATGAATCAATGGGATAACTAGAATAAATCAAATCTGTTTTGGAATTTTTTTCCACACAAATTCTCAAAATCCACTGAAATTTCATGTTGCAAGTCCATCATCCCAAATAAAATCTTGTGCAAATCAGCTATTTAATTATGCTGTGACATTTATAGTTTGACCAGCTTATCTTGAAAACACTGATGAAAGAACTGGAAGTAATATATAAACTGAAAGTTTATTAACATAAATGGCAACAATAAGGACAGACATCAACAAAATAAAATATTTACTGCCATTAAGTGTCACCTTTGACCTTTGACACCATCTTATTTTTTTCATCACCCACTGAAATCATGAATAATAATCCATCAAAATACTGAAAGTAATACAATAATGTACAAAATGTCAACCAAAATCATAATAAAATTGTGTAACAAATAAATTAATGTACACAAGTCCACATGCAATAAATGTAACAGAATAATGAGGGTTGTATGTAACTCATTCCATTGATTAACCAATTCCGGCTCAAAATGATAGCGCAAATATTTGTCTATTTCCCACAATTTTTTTCTGAATTCCATGTCAAATGTGAACCAAATGGAAATAATACAATACTAATATTGTTGTGTATATTTTATTTAAAAATTTCAAACATAACTCATTATATTCATAGAATTTAACTTATTTTTGAACAAAGCTATTATTTGTGGAAGGAGGCAAAATTTGACAATGGTGTTAAATATCTAATGTTTTATGATTCAACCTACCAGCAAACATTGTTTTAACTTTTTTTTTAGCCAGCAATTTTTCGGCAAGGGATTAAAATGTAATCGTGTTTTACACTGAGCCTGTCCACTCTGCTGCTACTGTGTCTGGCAAACCAAATTAAAAAATAAAACAAGGGTGGGATTATATTGGTTGTAGGTTGTTCATTATAACCCAAGTCTATACTAAAAAGCTTCTTTTTTATTCTATGGAAATGTTTTTAGTTTCATACTGAAAATGAAAACAAAAAATTGGGGACACTGGAAGATCTTTTTTGAGATACAAGATTCCAAAATATCATGAGAATGGTCAAAACTGGTTTCTATGGTGAGATTATTTCTTCATATCTCAAAATTTTACTTGGATACATAGGATGAAAAAGTCGTATATTATAATTGATATGAGATCTAACATTGTGAAATAATTTTAAAAAATTGACATAATTTAGTGAGTTTCCATGGTGATACTATTTTCCGTTATTTATTATAATGCGTTGCATATATATGTGCAGTAACATGCTCAGTATTGCAAAATTTGAATTCGGTTCAAACATTTGTTGAGCCAACAGATTATCATATATGTAGAGGGTCGGCAAAGGCTATTTTCGCAAGCAGTAATACATTGTTTTTATTTTCGTAATAATGTAATTTAAATAAATAAAAAACGTAAATTTGTAGACATGGACAAGGTGTAAAATGTAATCAGCTATTTTATTCATCCGTAATTCGTACGCAATTCGCAATTTTGATTCTTAAACACAAATTAGCAATTTGCTTTATCTGTAAAGTGTAAAAATCTATTTTTTTACTGTACATAGAACTTCATTTTATTTCCTGTAGAAACGTAAAATCCCTTTTTTAGTTTCTGTAACATGTACCAGGTATCCCCCCTTGCAAATCCCCCTTATGTAATCCAACAGACTTATACATCAGCCTAAATCAAAGATGGTGGTAAGTAAAACACAGCCTGATCACATTCATGTCATATAATAGTACAGTTGGTGTGAGTTGGTTTTATGAAGTGTGATATAATGTTTGATGTATATGTGAAGCTTGAATGTGATTGGTTGAGACATATCAGAGATATTGCTCTGCAACAGCATTAACTTAATTGGCCGCCAGTCGGCCATTTTGAATCCGATCTGCAACACAAAGTGACATGCATCAAGGTCCCATAATTTTTTATGTATGTACCAAGTTTGAATGAAATGCCCATACACAACCAAGATCTGGTTTTGGTATAACAGAAATGCTCAATTCTGACGAATAAAATTGATCAAGATGCCTGAGAATCTATGACATACTGTATATGGAAACACATGATTTTGATATGGGCATTTTGAAAAACATGCAAGGATACTATACTTGTAAACAAAGGGCACTAATGAGGCACTCTATGAATGAGGTATTTCTAGAGGTAGGGGTTTGTCTCGTCTGCAGTTGAATAATTTTTGCTTTGATTTTCTTATGGGTTTTTTTCCCAATGCGACTTAATTTCACTTGTTTTTTTTAAATTCTTGGTAATTAGTGTCATTAGTGATGGAGTATAAAAACCACAAACGCAATGGGCAAATTTCGCTATTTTCGCTGACAAGTAAAATCTGCTAAATTAAACCTACTTGAACATGTAAAGTAACAACAGACTGTTTCCTTGACAGATTCTTGAAATTAAATCATCAAAATAGTACAACTAAAAAGTCTGTACAACATACCTAGAACAGATAAATAAAAACATCGTAGTTTAATGTTCGTCCGGACTTTTAGCCCTTGAAAGTAAGTGATCCAGCCCTTACATATGCCAACGATTGAAATTTGTTCAATTGCTATCAAATTATCATTCAAAATAAAATATTTCATTTGTGAGACGTGCTTTTGATACAAACCGAAGATCGCGATCGACCCTACACAAAACTATCGGCATTTTGTCTTCCTTGTCCTCGTTCGACAAAAACAAAAAACTCGCATATTTACTATTTGTTTAATGAGTGCATTTTTGTTTAAAAATATCAAACAAGAATAAACACTAAGTAAAATAGGAATCAACTGCTTCGTTTTATTTGAGTAAGATGGAAACCATGCGAAAACAATAGTAGTGAAACCCAATAGTAGTGATCACTGTGATTATTATATAAATTTCTTGCAAAGTCTGGAACGATACTGAAAAAAAATCGTTGATTTCCTTCTATATTCATGCTTGAAAGTAGGCGAAGTATCCCAGGTGAATACGAGTATCCAGAAAATAAGTTAGGATTGATCAGTTCACACGAATTGTTCTGTTCTGATTCATCATTGCAAAACAATGGCCTGGAAACGGCCCAGCTTGAGGGAAACAGTATCGTGGAAAGAAAGAACAGTATCGGACCCGATACCCTTAAAAGACCTGATGAGAACACTGCAGAATCGCGGGCGAAA